ATTTCTCCTCCGAACTTCCGCACCAAACCAACAGGCTTGGCGGTTATGACCTCAGAGGAAGAATACTAGAGAGCGCATTCCCATTGAAATGGCTTGAATAAAGCAGTTCAAGATAAGTCACCAGAATTTATGATAAAAGGTTGCCTACTGAGCGCCATATACCTATGACTGTGTATCGCCGTTTTTTGGCAGAAAATTCGGTAGTTTTATACGATTAAGCAAGTCCTGAGCATTATACAAATATTCCAGGCAGTTTCTGAAATGGGATGATGATCTTAATAGATTTGTACCGAGCCTGCTATTCTTTTTTTCCCACAAATTAATAAATAAAATACTGGAAATCAGTCAATCATAAATTAAATAATTATTAATATTTTTAAGTTTAGATACTGTAGATTTTAAAGCAATGTTGTTTTGTTACAATTTCGATCTAATTTCTTTCCATTATTCTACACAGTTTCATTTATATTAGAAGGTAGTATTTAATGTTCATTTATTTTAAAATAAAATCACACTCTCTGTGCTTGACTTCGCTACCACTAATTTGACAAGTTTTGTAGTTATAAGGTAATTTGATTATATTAATCTTAAAGCATTTGTACATAAGGTTTTATATGACAAAAAATTATTTATACATAATTGATGACAATGCAACATTTTATGTTTTCCTCCCTGGGAATTTCAAAATAAAATTGAACACATGCCAAAGAGAGTTATGTAAAAAAAGTAAAAGGAATTTCATGTTCAAAATTTTCATAAAACAAGTATCATTTGGGAGACTGGCACGAGCTCTTAAAAAATTAATTAGATTCTAATCTATTAAATTTTCTATTCTAAAACTGTTGAAACTAAAAATTAAAAATAAAATTTCAACATTAGATATATTTTTAATTATCAAAACATTGCATTTAATTTTAGTTCGCCAACTTCTTTACAAAAAATAAATGCCTAATGCAATTAAAATCTCGCCTAATGCAATTAAAATCTAAAACAGAATCAAACTATACTGATAATTACTGTTTAATGAAAACTAAACAAACATTTCATTGGTGACAATCTACATCGCCAAATAGAGAAATGTTATAGGTTTCAAAAATGCAAATTAATCAAACTTGAAGTATTATTCAATAAATGTTTGAATTATTAATATAATGATACCTGAGATTTATTGCATATATTTGGGCTGTTTAGAGGTTGATGTTTCAGTTTTATGAATAAACTACCATACATATGATGGCATCTTAATAAAACCTCTTTTTTATAGAAAAAACGCAACAAAAGTTTATACATACCAGTGAAAGGTAACAGGACCTCCTTTGACTGCTTTCAGTGCACCCACAGGCACAGCACCGATCGCCGCCCCATGTCCCCATGCCTGATGCCATAGACAGCCTCCAGCCCATGAGTGGACATGGGGCAAAAGATGCCAACAGCACGTGGTGAAAGTTCCCTATGGTCACCCTCCCAAGTACTGACCGCGCCTGATGCTGCTTAACTGCGGTGATCAGACGAGAAACCGGTGTGCTTTCAGTATGGGCCGTTGGCAAACAGGAAACCGACAACCATTGAGCTTCTGTACTAACAATCAGAACTTCATTGATTTAAAATGTCGGCTATACAAATCAATACAACTGTCAAAACGGAATGGGAGGTTTCTGCCAAGCATCACGTAGATTTTATCTTTGTCCCCAAAAACTAGTTCGGCTGATTTATCTAGTTATCTTTCCTGAGGTTATGACCCTAGATATGTCATCATCAATGGTTGCCTGACACCACCATTTCTTTGAAATCGAAGAAACATAATTTCACCAGCATTCTCTTTAAGTGTTTCTATTCAACTTTCAGTGTATTTGACAATATTTTCAATCATACTTACACCGTGCCCCTCATACACGAGTCAATGTATACAATAATACCGTATTTTTGGTATTTTGACGTTAAAGCCACACTACGATCTTAATTGGCAAACTTTACAAATTGGCCAAGTATAAGTAAATTTATTGATATTTGCAACACCGATCCGCTGCATTGACAAAAAAACACAAACCGCTCTGTCTTTCAGTATCTATTGCTCTGTCTTACGTCCACCATATTGAGCTACTTCTCCCTCGCGATAAGTCCGTCGAGAGAGTCACTGGTAATGATTAAATCTTGTTTTATTTTGAAAATTAATTATTAAATACATTGTGCAGTACTGATACAATCCCCATTTTATAATTGTATAATATCAGTGTAAATGTATATTTTACATTTTATTATTGTACGAATGTATTTTATTTTACTTCCCTTCAGTAAAACAACCAATATTTTTAATAATATTTCTTGATATGATTGCGCCCCCCTCAATTAGTGTTAATTGCTGCCCTCTTCTTGTAGTGGGGCGCGGCCCACAGGTTGAGTAACTGCTGTTGTATGGGGAGGAACTTGACAGAGGTGGCGGGCCAGTGCGACGCGTGCTGCTAGTGGCTTAATTGGCAAAAAAAAAAAAAAAAAAAAAAAATCATTGCTATATATCGACTCCGTGGCTAATTGTAAATGTACTATAAACAACTTATCTCTAGTAAACTCAGTATTGATTTATGGTTATTTAAATGAAATATTATTCGGTTCATAAAATACTGCGTTAAGATAAATTCATTTAAAACCAGTTTCACAAGAGGAACAGCGAAAGTATTAAAAAAAATAACACGAACTCCTGTTAACTTCATGTCACGCCAAAGTTGCTTTAAATGCAAAAGAGTATGCAATAAAATATTACTTGATATTTTAAAAAACAAATAATACAACTTGCATACTCAATTTTTTTGACCTGAGAATATGCAAAATCACCGTAAAAATTATGCTAATAATAATTAATAAAAAAATTACTCTGATTCCTCATTTCTGTTTTCTTATCTATTATATTTTTAAATATGAATTATATAATTATTATCCTTGGAACCGACTTTAGTTTAATTCTTTTAGACCTTCACAGAGAGACTGTGATATATATTCAATTTCGGGGTCACCATACGTATGATATATACTGCAGAACTTGTGTTCAAAACTCTTTCGTAAGAAGAATGCAAAGGTACTCCATTTGTATTGTTTTTGAAGCCGTAGTTTATTTCTATGATTAGACATACTAGATGATATTAGGATATCACTTGATAGAGGGAAATCGATATTTAGTACTCTTTAAGTTGTTCTTTCACAAATAAAATAGAATAAAATGGTTCTGCAAACTTGAATTTACACAAGAACTTTGAGTTTCTGCAGGAAAAAGACAAATTGGCTTTTCCGAGAATATTTACAGTAATATTTTTGAACACATGTATATTACCTCAAATTCAATTAATGTATAATATCATGAAAATTAAGCATCTCGATCTGCAGATAATCATATTATCATCAATTGATGATTATCTTTCTTATGTCATACGAGAGCATGGCGTCATATTAGATTGTTATTGTTTTGAAGCTTTATCTTCTGTAGATTAGCAATTACTAGATGATAATTAGGATATCCACTTTCTGATAGAGGGAAAATCGATATTTAAGTATCTTTAAAGTTGTTCTTTCAATAAATAAAAATAGAAATAAAATGGTTCTGCGGAACTTGAATTTACACAAAGAACTTTGTTTTCTGAGGGAAAAAAAAAGAATTTTTGTTTTTTCTGAGAGAATTTATTTTGGATAATATTTTTGAATACCATCATATTACTTTTCAAAATTCAGTTACAATCGTATAATATCATGAAATTAATGCATCTGATCTCGAATAATCCATATGCATCTAATTTCGAATTTGATGTTTTCTTTTATGTCATACGAGAGATGGCGCCATGTGCTGTTAAGATTGTTATTGTTTTGAAGCTTTATCTTCTGTAGATTAGCAATTACTTGAGATACTATGGGATATGCTTCTCATATGAGGAAAATCGATATTTAAGTATCTTTAAAGTTGTTCTTTCAATAAATAAAAATAGAAATAAAATGGTTCTGCAGAACTTGAATTTACACAAAGAACTTTGTTTTCTGAGGAAAAAAAAAAGAATTTTTGTTTTTTCTGAGAGAATTTATTTTGGATAATATTTTTGAATACCATCATATTACTTTTCAAAATTCAATTTACAATCGATAATATCGATGAAATTAATGCATCTGATCTCGAGGATATCATATGATCTAATTCTGAATTGTGATGTTTTCTTTTTATGTCTAGAGAGATGCGCCATTGCTACGTTGGGATTATTATTTAGTTAGTAAATCAAGCGAACTCTGACTTGTTATAAAATTAAGACAGAATAGTAGCTTCGGTTTTGTGAGAAAGAGTAAAATTTCTATATCGCAACTTTTATGTAAATAAGACTTTATATATTTATGTCTGTGCAAAGAAGTGTTTCTTCGAGATTGAAAATTTAGAAATTTCTTTTCTAACTTCATCATAATTCTTGTTCTTTTTTTCTTTTCATTTTGCCTCGCAATCAGTGAGGTTTTCGCAAGGTGCTAGAGGTTCCTCTCGCATCGTCTCGGAGGACTCTAAGGGCCCTCAAAATCTATTTCCGTTATACATCAAAGTGCTAAACTGGCGGCGAATTTAAGACTTGCAGTATACGGAAGGGCGTCAACAGAAATCTTCCCTGGCGCCAACATTACCTAAACCGCCACTGACTACAATGAATAATTTATCATTTATATTCAATTTTTCGTAGACTTTATAACAATATAATACCTGAAAAAATCCACTTCTGTTTTATTCCCATTTTTTTTGCTTGAAATTAAGTTTATTGCTCTTTTGTTAACAATAACATTATCTGTATATGGGGTGGTCATAGAATAAACTTGGTTTTATGTACGAACTCTTTTTCCAACGAATACTTAATACTATTCCGATATAGGTATTTTGGTAGCACAACATACATGATATTGTACAACATTGTATAATGTTGCATGAAAAATCTTGAATGGTACTTGACCACGAAAAGCACTGGCAAAGAATGTGGAAACAACTAATAAAACCAGTGAAGATAATAATAAAGTCTATCTTTCATTTATATTAAGCTGAAAGAGCTTTTTTCTCCTATTAGTTCACTTAAATAGATAAAGAGAAAAAATGAAGAAATATAAGTAATACAGGTGAGAGGAAAAGAAAGTTGACTTCTCGCTTCTCAGATTTATTTCATTCTGTATATCAGCTGAGAGAGAGAGAACCTTCAGTCTCCGCTGGTGTTCCTTCCCCATCTGCAGACGACCTTGCATTCTTCCTGACCACTCGTGTGATTTTTTAATGTAAGGTCGTCTGAAAAAAATGTCATTTATAATTGAACATGATATTCAATTTAAATTGCAGTAATATATTGTTGTATTTCAGATTTAATTTTGTAATGAATAATATATTCGCATGTTAGTGTATGATTTTTCATCAAATTCTTTCATTTTGGGGTAAATTACCCGCCTGTTTTTTCTCAACAACTTTATAACATGATGGTCAGAAAGGCAAAACTGATTTAACTACACGCCAAAGCAGAGTTACTAATTTTATCATCGTTGAAAATTCCATATACTTGGATTGCCTTTTTCAATATTTTTGATAGCAACAGAGTTCTTTTATGTGTTAACATCTAAATGTTTAAACTTACCTTTTGCTCTTATATGTATAGTATTTTCAATTTATTTTAGATTTGGTTATTTTTTGTTTGAATTAATGAATTTTAGTTTCATGAATTGCATTTTCTTTTTGATGGTTTACTTTGTTTTTTGTATGTTCATATACCAAATTATATTTTGTTATATATAGTTAAATGTTTAAATTGTACAAAATAAAGGGTGGATTGTATTACTACGAAAACGTTTTCGAAATATATGACGCCCCCTTCTTTTTGGCTGTTTTAGAGCCGGAAAATAGAAAATTTAATGGGCTCTAAAACCCTGTCTGAATACTATATGATATTTTGCATAGGATTAATAAATGACCATCTGCTTCTGATTACTGCTTATAATTGCTGCTATTCAAAAATTTTTAACATCAATTTTGATAAAATATATAAAGCTCAAAATTATTTTAAATAAGAAGTAAAAGTGTAAAATGTAACACACCCATTCTACTACATAAAAAAATTTTGGTGAATATTATATTATTTCTCAAGATAACAAATAAAAATTCAAAAATTTTACTTTTAACATTAAAAACTCAAAATTTCATTTGCTTATAATTGCAAAAACAAAAATGCCGGATGATAAAACTTGGTATTCCAGAATAAATTTTTGTGGTTTCGAAATTTTTAAAAAACAAAATGTGTTTCCATTGAAATTTTTAGTTAGTAATTATAAATAAGTATATGACCCCTCTATGGTATATGAACGTGAAATCTCTACTCAGACCTTATTTGATAATTGGTACCTTTTGTTTTAATACGCGATGAACTGGCAAATAAGGCAGGTTCTTTCTCCTCCATGACTTGTACATCGTCAAACATCCAGGCAACACTTGAGAGATAATTGACCCCTGCCGTATTTAATGCACACCCCATGTACATGGAAGATCTTTG